GTCTCTAGTGGAAGATGCTCGTACCCGGCGATCTGCAAATACGGCTGAGCCTGCTTTCAGCTTGACGACTTCTGCGGAAGCACCCAAAACCCGCACCGAGCTTCAGCCCGCGGAGGGAGCTAAGATCGCCCGTGATATTCTTGTTCCAGTAGAATTTCACTTCTTGCAGCTGCCTGGGCACCGAAGCTGGAAAACTGCAGGCATCCCCCCCAAGAAGGCCCCCCACACCACAGTTCCCAGAACCGCCGAATCCCGGAAGGGGCCAAAGGGCACCCCTGCCAGAGAGAAGCCACCCATTAGGATCTGTGCGCTGAGAGGCTTTAGGAGTTCTGGGGTTTGCTGCTGTAGGGTTTAGGATTTCGGATGAGTTAGGCTTGAATCCACGCTTGCTGGAAGTCCACGACCCCCAGAGGGTCAGGGAGCAGTGTATCTATGGGAAGTCTAGGAGTTAAGAGCTCGGATACCTTAAACCCTCTAGAGCCCAAACCCTAAACCCTAAACCGGCTTCCTTCCGAGAGGCTTGGGGCGCAGCATGTGAAACCCAAACCCGGCAGCAATCAAATCCTGAAACCCTCACCCTAGACCCGCAAGCCTCGTGCTGGAGTCCCTTCAAGCCGTCCGGAAGTCTCGGAAAACCCAGCCCACCGTCCTGCAAGGAGATTTCGCAACCCGTTTCAGCCCGTTTCCCCCTCAAAGGGTCGTGGCCTCTTCTCGCCCCCCACCACGGACAAAGAGCTAGGCTCGAGGCCTCGACTTCGCCCTCAAACCCCAGCCCAGTACCCGAAAAACCCAAAAAGTCACAGAAGTCTCTAGTGGAAGATGCTCGTAACCAGTGATCTGCAAATCCGGCTGAGCCTGCTTTCAGCTTTACGACTTCTGTGGAAGCACCCAAAACCCGAGCCGAGGAGCTCTAGGCCGCTGAGGGCGCTAAGATCGCCCGTGATCTTCTCGTTGTAGTAGAAAGACACGTACTGCAGCTTCCTGGGCACCGAAGCTGGAAACTGCAGGCATCCCCCAGAAGGCCCCCCACACCACAGTTCCCAGAACCGCCGAATCCCGGAAGGGGCCAAAGGGCACCCCTGCCAGCGAGAAGCCACCCATTAGGATCTGTGCGCTGAGAGGTTTTAGGAGTTCTGGGGTTTGCTGCTGTAGGGTTTAGGATTTCGGATGAGTTAGGCTTGAATCTACGCTTGCTGGAAGTCCACGACCCCCAGAGGGTCAGGGAGCAGTGTATCTATGGGAAGTCTAGGAGTTAAGAGCTCGGATACCTTAAACCCTCTAGAGCCCAAACCCTAAACCCTAAACCGGCTTCCTTCCGAGAGGCCTGGGGCGCAGCATGTGAAACCCGAACCCGGCAGCAATCAAATCCTGAAACCCTAACCTTAGACCCGCAAGCCTCGTGCAGGAGTCCCTTCAAGCCGTCCGGAAGTCTCGGAAAATCTAGCTCACCGTCCTGCAAGGAGATTTCGCAACCCGTTTCAGCCCGTTTACCCCTCAAAGTCGTGGCCTCTTCTCGCCCCGCACCACGGACAAAGAGCTAGGCTCGAGGCCTCGACCTCGCCCTCAAACCCCAGCCCAGTACCCGAAAAACCCCAGAAAGTCACAGAAGTCTCTAGTGGAAGATGCTCG